AAATAGCAAAAATGGTCAATCAAATACAGTACATTATTAAAATGGAGCCATCCCTTTTTCTCTGGTGAAAATGTTTCTTGATACTGGGGCCAGAAGCATGTTTTCCATTTCAATAAAAGATGCATAGCTATTTGGCTCATACATAGTTTTTTAAAGGCTTGTAAAGAAATGTAAACTTTGTTATTGATAACGAGATCTGAGGGGCCAAAAAAAAATATGGCCCCATGGGATTTGGATACCCGCACCTTATTTTTCTAGTTTTATTAAATAGTTGTGAGCTGTTTCTGGCTTTACTTTTCCTCTATTTTAGGTCACTTTTCTAATTTTTTACTAGAGAAGTTTTGTAGGAAGGCTGTTTCTGGGGAGAATTGACAGCTGTCAAAAAGTGATTGGTATAAGTCCTTTCAGCAAGAATTAAAGCAACGCTAAACTGAGGAGTTAAATCTTAAAAATGCATTTAAGCTTTAAGCTTGGAGCGGTCGCTACTTTACAACACACACAGGGACTATGGGGAACAAAAGTAGCCTCCATCCAGAAGGAAGGAAAGTGTCAGCACCAATTCAGAGATGATTTGAGGATCTACAGCTGAGTGATACACAAATAAGATAACTTTTTGTTAATAGTTAAGGTAGTTGAATGCAGTTTTAAAATTTAACTCCTGAGTTTAGTGTCACTTTAAGTATTCAATCTGTCTGCCAGCAGTTGGATGTTCAGTGAAGCAGAACTGCCCACCCTTTCCTCGTCATGGCTATCCTTTTTTTGGCAGTATTGTCCCCCATATTTGTGGGTGGACAGTGTGTTTCTTTTCATTATTCATATCAGATTGGTATTTTCAAGTTTTGCTCGAGTCTTAGGCCTGGTTCACACCTGGGCGTTTTACAGCGCGTTCCTACGCGCTATAAAACGCTCAACATGTGAAAACCAATGATTGCCCATGGGCATGGTTCCCACCTGGGCGTTTTACAGCGCGTAGGAAGGCGCTGCAAAACGCCCTACGCCTAAAGAAGTACAGGAGCTTCTTTGGGGCGTATTTGCCGCGCGTATCCATTAGGATACAGCCGGATAGCCCTCGGGAAAAAACGCGCGCTTGACACGTTTTTTTACCGCGAATCGCTGTAAAAATGTGCGGCGCGGCAAACGTGCATATTCAGTACGCCTAGGTTTGAACCTTAGGCTGAGCATTTTAATTAAAGTTTACATAATCTTTGAAAGTTTGGTTTATGGATAAGTGTTCTTCTATAAATTCTTATAGAAGAACACTTATCCACAAACCAAACTTTTATTAAAAGATGTTTAAAACCCAATAAAAAGCCTCTCACCAAAAATGTTTTGCACTATTTTGGTGTCCAGCCTCCTTTCATTGTTACCCTTTGTTCTTTTTACAGGTTGGTGGGTGGTTGCTGTGGTGTGTTCAATCCCATGGAGACTCCTCCAGTTGGAAGGATGTATAAAGCTCCATTATAGCGGTGGTGGGGCTCAGAGTTCTGAAACTCCCAGAAGGAAATGGCTGATTTATTTGAGAGGTATATTTATTATACACCAGGGCAAGAGATCTATCTTGCATGCATCTGCAGTAAAAATACATTAATTTCCATTCATGTTGTATAGGTTGTTGTCTTCCTCAACCAAATATCAACATTAAAGTGATGACTTTCTGTTTTTAGTTTTTATGGCACTGGCATAAATAATTATATTTTATATAATACTGGATTCAGCATCTCTGTTTCTATTCACTTTAATATGTTTAAAGTGCAAATCTGATCAAACTAAAATACATGAAATATATTTATATTTATTGTTTTACCTACCAACGGATTTGTTTTTTTGACCTGCTATTTTTGTGACCCACACTCTTGATAGCCGGTAAGATCACTTTGCTACATCTTGGTTCAACATTACTGCTTCCTAAGCATGTTTCCTGCATCCTAGGTCACTTCCCAGCGTACTAGACAGAAGCAATGATGCTGTTTCACTGTCAAATGAGGAGTCTGTCGGTGGAGATGTTACGCAGGAAACTGCATTGTTGAACCAAGAATTAGACTTAGTCAGGAACTACACCTGTCACCCATCTGGTTGTGTAGTGTGTATAATGTGTGCAAATCACAAGACTGGCCATATAACATAACAAATCCTTTGGCAGGTAAAACTGTAAACATACTACACAGCAAAGTTCTGTAACGACACACCAATTAACTTTATTGTTTAGCACAAGCACATGTCAATGATTAAGCCCCAGTAGGAGGTGAAACATGTCAGAGGTAAGATTCTGGATGGAGCGTCTGAGCTTGAACTGAACAGCACAGTTGATTTTACCCTTTGGAAGTGGAGTGCGGCTTCAGAACTATGCTGAATGGTGTGTTGGAGGAACAGACCCTGGAGAATGAGCACTGGCAAGCTGGAGTTTAGGACTGCAGAGGAGAGGCCTTTATCTTCTGTAAGTAATAAATGTAAACATACTGTATAAGGATTTCAGCTGTGTAGGTTAGCAGTTAACCCAGATATTTGCTTTAATATGTTCTCACTATATCCAACAACATTAAATACATATAACACAGAAAATATGTATCTATATGTTTCTTATTAGACTGTTACACTGTAAATGTGTTCATTTTTAAATGCAAGTCCATATAGTGTCATTTTCCTCAAGGCCATCTTTCAAAACTGAGACATTTCATTCTGATTTTATCTAAAAGTCTTGAATAAATTAACAAAAATGATATTTGCATAGTCTCTTCCATTTCCCTCTTAAGTAATCATCAGGATCCCAGTTGTAGAGGATATTCTGGATGCTACAGTATCAGTAAACAAAGCACTCATAGCAATGTGATCCTTAAAGGTCACATTTAAAAATGATTTAATTATAATGGGAATGTCCCAATGCACACAGCACAGCCCTCTGAACTATCCTCGCATGCTACACATACAATTTTGCCTCGTACAAGCCTGCAGTCATGTTTATTATAAACCGTTTTACTTCAAACGATTCATTTTCTGCTTGCTGATTCTCTTTGTCTTCCATTTAAATTGTTTACTCATCAGGCTATTAAACCTGACAATTTATGCTTGACTAGAATTACAATGCTTCAACAGAAAACCACAAAGATGTTATTTTGATATTGTTCGTCAGCATGCTACGTTACCCAGCGTTACAAAGAATAGAAATAAAAACATATTCAAATTGAACCCAGGAAATGGACCAGTGCAAATCATTATTCATGCTGAAATAATGTTCAAAACATTTAGTTCAGTTGTTGACTACTGTGCAGCCATATCCTAGATCAATGTAGAGAAAAAAAACAGAATTTAAAAAGCAAAGCTCCGATCTTGCTGCTATAATTTTACGTGAATCTCAGGGCTATTGTTTAAACACTTCTCTACGCAGAGCACAATCCTTTTAACAGAACTGTTTTATTAGTGTTCAAAAAACATTTTTTTCCCCCCCATACAGTCACATGACAAGCTTAGGTCCTGATAAAAATAATTATTATGTGCTTTACTAATGAGTAAATTACATTACTAAGTGCTTATATGTTGCAATTATTAGGTTATTTGTATACTATTGTATAATATTGTATTATATTACATAATATAATAACAGATAGTGGGTAACTGGAGGAGAATAAGCTTTACCAGAGTGATAGTGAAAAATGTCAAATTATATTACGTGTGCCTGGATTTGTTGTTTAACTTGGAGTCCTACTGAATATTGTAAGGCAGAGTGTTATTTGATGTTGTAAATAGTATGCTTGTGCTGGCTTTAAAAAAACTGATGATCCTAATGAACCCAATGTTGTATGTTCTACCTATACAAATATTATAGGCTACTGTAGAGTACAGAAGAACATACATAAAGACCCCAGGCAGTCACAATGTGAACATTTCCTTCTGGGCATGATGTATAATTCAAAAACACCACGCATCAGCAAAAAAAGATATGAACACTAAATACAATGTTAATTATTCTAGTGTCTTGTCATGCCATATCAATAACTTTAGAAAAGCAGAATAATGTTTTAAAAACCCATTTATGTTACAGTAACCTTTTAGTTTTACGTTTTCACTGGTTAATGTACCTTGCAGCAGGATAAAAGTTAGATGAGAACCTGGCACCTAACAGATTAACAATATTGCACCTTGGGATGGAGTTAATGAGTGTATGGTAAGGCAGTTTTACTATACCAAGCTTGCCTGATGATCCATAGCATTCTTGTTTTACTATTTAGCCCATCTATTGTTATATAAATATATGAAATGTGTCCACATTTACTTAAAGCCCAACCCCAGGCACCGGACATACATTTTGTAAATGGCCAAGAGTAACCATGGGCAGAGACACAGCACCAGTGCATTGTCTTTCATACATGCCGTGATAATGTTGCAGACTTAAAGCAGGTGTTGTACTAACCAGTAGTACAAGTCCAAGGTTTACTTACTACTGTGGAGAGGTAACCACTTACTTATGGCTCTAAAAGTATACAAATACTGGCACCTGGAGTTAGGCTTTCCCCCATCCCATAAGGGGGTTTCTACATTCAAACAATTCAAATCACGCATGCTTTGTAAGGTTTATCCTTTGCCGGGGTTTTATATACAGTCTGTTTAACTGTTCGACACTAAGCAGGGAGTAAAGTAGAAATTAGGTATTTAATGGCAACCAAAATAAACATCTGTGCCAGTCCATGTAAAACTACTCCTGACACATTTAGAAGAAATCCAAAATGAACAGAGTTGGAGGTTGGTCAATACAGCTAACTAAATAAAAGTTACTTGAAACTGGAAAAAAGCGTAACAGCGCTGATGAATAATAAGGCACGGGTAGATTCTGATTGAGGGTCAAATGGGGTAAAATTCAGGAATGATGAGAGGATTACAAAAAATAAAATAATGTTTTGATCTGATTGCACTGGGGGTAAAAATAAAGACACTAAGATGAGAACAAAATAGTGCCATGAAATTACATATGGGGTTTCTGATGGGCTTGATTTTACGTCAAAACTCACCATCTCAAAACCACTTCTTTTCATCCGCCTGCAGGACTTGAGGTAAGTGCGTATACGTTTTCTGGCACGCTCTTGGTACTCAGGAAATTGTCGCCTGCATGAGTCAATGATTGCCTGGATCTTTTCTTTGGGCTGCTTAGAGATAGGGACCATTCGGTCCAAGTTTTCATCTACAAACAGCCTGACAAACATCTGTTGGTAAGAGAGAGACAGAGGAGAAGGGATTGGAGGGGCTGCTCTTGTCTCTCATCTTACTACCACACCTTCCACAGAGACAGGAATAGAGACTTTCCATAAAAACAATAATGTATATACAGAGATGAATCATTCTAGACCAAATACACTTTCTGTTGGAAATAACGGGATACACCAGCACACAGTAAATATTAATGATGCAAGGGAAGATGCATCCCAAAAAAATAAGCATACTTTGGCAACTTTGTGTAATGTGTTCTGCATTCAGTTTATATCCCTAGATCAATGCATAGGCATAGACATTAACATAAAAAAAAGCACACCACACAAACAAACACAACTGCAACACAGAGAGAAACATTGTGCAATTGTCCCTAAGGCAAAGGGGTAAAAGAAAGAAAAAAAAACTAAAAACAGCATCTAATGAAAGCTTGTACACATTGGGACCTTTCTTTTCTTCCTCGGTAGGTAGTGATTTAGCCCAGGCATGGGTCTCTGGAAGCAAAGCTGGCTAGAAAAGTCAATACTTAGTCATTGTAATTAAATAAAGGATGCAAGTAGTAACATATTTATTACCTAATACCAGCTATTTGTTTTTAGTTTTTAATAGTGGAGTTAAAATGTTTTTTTATTTCTGTCTGGGATCCCAGTGAGGGGTGTTTGCCTTACTTCCTGTCCTGACCCTCTGACACCCCTAGAAGAAATGAGAGGTTTGAGTATAACTGGGACAGAATAATACAGACAGCAATAACAACTCAAAAAATCCTCAGAAGTTCTAATGCTTCCTTACACTATAAATGTCGTTTTGTCAATTTCATAGTTGGATCAATGTCATAGTTGGAGAGATTTGCCATCACATACTGTCCTGACAGAAGTGAAGGGATATCTCTAGATTAGGATATCCCTTCCTTGCTCTGCCCAAAAAAGAAATAAATGTTTAGTCCGGAGTTGGGATTTAGTCCTACTTCTGTACAGGCCTGTTCATATGTCAGACCTACTTTATGTTATTGAGGCTAATGTTAAATAAATAGCTTTTAAAAGGCACATCCAAAGGTCATTTTCTGATCACTCTGATTATAAGTGCAGGGCATAAAGAGACACCAATACATTCGCACTGGTTTAATTATCACTACACCCGATATATTTAATGGCAATACAAAACCCTACAATCTTCTATAGGGTAAAAATACTATTACTTTAATGTTTATGTAGCATAATGATCATAGCTATTCATATAAATTATCTGCATAGCAAATACCATACATAGTAGTAGGCTTTAAAAGACATGTCCTTTAAACAAAGCTCCTGTTATTTTTTGAGAAAATTGACAGGCCAGGTCCAAAGCATCTAATGTGTATTAGGTTTCCATGCATACTTTTATTTTCTCCTGCAGGCAATTCAAACTTTCACTGCGTGTGCTGCTACTCTTCTCCTTTAACACATCACTGAAGGAAAGACCTCAGCTCACATGCAGCAGAGAATTTAATCTAATATTCTGCCATTGATGAGCTGTCTGTATGATAAGTCCTTTCTGTTTATTTAGGTGCATCTAACAATTGTTTTACCAAACTCAATAAAAACTTGCACTCAAAAATTTGCACTGTCATATGCCAGAGCAATTGTGTAAACTAACCTGTACATTATTTAACAAGGGACAACAAGAATAAATAAAACAGGATACTGAATACCATCAACTATTTAGAAAATCTATTTTAGGACAGTTACAAATGCTTTTTTTGTACCCTTGAAGTCTCTTTCTATATCATTCTAGACCACTACTTGCGTTTTTTGTTTTTTAAGTAGAATTTCTTGAACTAAATACAGATATAGGTTTCACAAGAAAAAAAAGAAGCACCACAAAATCAAAAAGTTAAAACAAATGAATAAACAGAAGAACAAATTGTGGAATAATGCCATTGGCAGCATCGTAAATGCTATGTGAAAGTTTTGATCCTATAAAGCATTTTCTTTCGAATCTACCAATTGAGTACAGAAGATGTGTTTACATTTCAGCTTGTTAATAGGAATGTCACTATGAATGCTTACATTAAAGGCTTTCAAGCGTTCAGCTTCAACTCCATCTGTTTCAGTTGCCTTCTCTACATCCTCATGGTCATCATGGTCATCTTCATCATCATCCCCTCGATTCAAAGATAAATCTTCACCACAACCACCTACACTTTCATTTTTACCAGAGTCATAGCTGGAGTAGCTATGTGCTGGGGACTGAGAAAAAAAAGAAGACAGATTAGCTTATCATCCTCCCCTACCCAGTCATGATAGTTCCTCATAGGAAGATTAAAGTGGGCATCAGAGGAAAAGTCCAGCCAAATCTTAAACGTTAGATAGAATGTTTAAAAACAGTGCCTTCCGAACCCTCTTGTAACTGTATGGTCTTTCTTTATATTGTAAAGCACTATATAAATTCTGTATAATATTATATATTCCTGTTTAATAATAATAATATGTATTCCTCAACTGCTTTCCAGACTATTTATGGCTTGACCATTTACAACAGAGCCTCATTAGGAGTGTTTTGAAGACCCTGGACAAGTGAATGTTTAGGATGCCCTGGATACCTTCTAGCTGGTCTGCTTTCAGATAAAATATATTGTAAGAGGGACTGTGGATTGTCAAATAATCTGAGGGACTGGGGATAAAGCATTCAGTCCTAGGTCCATGCTTTACCTGTTAGTCAGACTTCACTTATCAGTCAGCCACATGCCTTTCTACTTTGGAGCAGGCTTATGCTAGATGCTCTTTCTCACCCTCTCTGCTGTGAGAGCCTGATGATGGGTGAAAAGGCTGACTGCTGACAGATTGCTAAATAGGAACATGTACTTATCTTCTGCCCCCATGTGCTCCAAGATGGAGACTCTCATAGTTTAGAGTTAGGACCGCACTATAAGAGGTGCCTTGGCGCGGCAGTGCGGCTTACACATCCTTTGCAGAAGACGTGTATCCAAACCTCTGTCATTGTCCTTAGTGGTGAGACAAGTTATTTTACATGCTGGTTTGTGAGTGTGCCATGATGCCTTTCTACTGTACCAGGTGGGGAGGTGTGACGCGCAGCGTGTGTGGAGCCGTGAACAGGGCCAACCAATCAGAAGCCGATTAATCGATTATTGAAAAAGTTGACAACTTTTTCAATAATCGATTATAATCGATTATGTCGATTAGTTGTTGCAGCCCTACTGTCCATATGTTGGAGAGAACCGATTAGAGAGCACCCTGTTCCTTTTATTCTATGGACTTGCTGTACAAAGCCTTCTTGAACTAAACTGTGTTTCTTTACTGCCTTGTTGAAAAGTGCAGAACAAACCTGCTTGAACTATTCCTGGGTGTCATGCATGGTTTAAAACTGTCACTACCAGTTGAATACGTCCCCCTTACAATACATTTAGTAAAAGAACAGATACAGTGAATTACACCTAGCATACAGAACAAAAGAAGTGCTACTGCGCAATAGCCTTACATACATACAGAATGAGAAAAGATACTACAAGCACTACAAACAACACAAGAAAGGTGGTAATGTGCAGCATCCATCCATCCAACATTAGAACAGATACTGAGAATTATACCAAGCATACAGAATAAAAGTAGTACTGTGCATTGTACATACATACATACGGAATAGGAGGAAACATTAAGAATCATAGGTGGAATTAGGTCAAAAGTGGGGGTACTATGTTTAGCTCATTCATGTATAGGCAAAAGCATCAGCATAGTAAGTAAACTCTGGAGATAAAATGTGCTGCTCTAAGCCCTGACAAAATATTCAGTAAATTCCCACATATTGTACTGCAGCATTGCTAATTTTATGCAGTGATCTCTCTTATAATCATCTCACGGTATAATTTACTTTTTGATAATAACTGTAAAACCACTGTATTGAAAAGAATAGCAATAAAATTAGTGCTAATAACATTCTGCTAGTGGAATCTGCACTATCCATAAAATTAAAACTGATCATCTTTCTTTTTTGTGTTCAAACTATTCACATTTTTTTTAAAAAGTATGAAGGCTACATTCCATTAACGCATCTTTAATACAATTAGCCAGGTAAGTGGAATTTTTTAATTTTATACAGCCAGAGGAGGCAGGCTCAAGCTGAGGGGTTTATAATGATATTTGTGCAATCTTAGGTTTGTGAATGGGTACTTGAATTTATGGTTATCTTAAATGAGCTAATGAGATATATTTATATGAGCTGTCTGAAGAGACGTATTAGCATGCTGTGAAATTTTATTGAGAAGATAGAAGTATGCATGATGCTTACTCCCTATTCGGTGGGTCATTTTATTCTTACCTTTTCATTAACATCATAGCTTTCTTTATTGTTTTAAACTAATAGATTCCAGCCCAGATTTATGGAATGTGAAGAAACAATAACTCTTTAATCTCAACTTGATTAAAGCATGCCTAATCAACTGGTAATGTGAATATACAGTGGCTTAAAGTATAGTTTTCTGTTCAACTGGAAGAGGAAAAGTATAGGGGATTTATAATGATTACATAGTGTAGCACTACATAGCAGGATGCAGAGCCTATATGTGTAATCAGCAAATATGTCTGCCCCATGTACATTTATAATTATTGACTAGACATAGAAAAAAGTAAACAATAAATAAATAACACTTATTGATATGATTATTTACCTCAATCTGATCTATTTTAAGTGTATATCTAAAATAAGTTTCTAAAACTATTATTCTTTTACACAAACATTTAATACAGGTAATACCCATAGTAAATGGTTTTGCAGGGCATTCTTGGTTTTCTAAGGAGATGATCCAGCATTATCTGTTCCTTTTGTGACTTTCTCAGCTTTACTAAACTGCCATTTATTTGAACAGGGTAAACCACTCATTTAACTTATTCAGCTGTGTGAGAAATGGGAACTTCAACAATTCTGCTCTGAATAAAGGCATTTGTTCAGCAAAACAGGGTGTATTGATAAAAAATTGCAGATGCAATTGCCCTGGAAACTTGCATGTACATTTGTTCTGTTTAAATGTTATTAGCATATTTTCTTTACAGGTCGAATGTAATTAATTTCTAAGATTAGAGTGAACTAGTTAAATACTGCATTATGGCCACTAGATGAAGCTGAGGATTGGAGTAAAAACAACATACTTCCTATGATCCTCAGTTCCATCTAGGGGACATAATGCAGTATTTCTGTGATATTACAGTCAAGCCGGGAAGAAAATATACTAATAACATTCTTATTTTTCCGGATTCACATGAAACAAATGTGCATGCAGTTTCACAGGACAAATGGTTCTGCAATTTTTTTTTTATAAATGCACCCCTTAAAGTAATCCTGGTAAACATAAATCTACAGTTTCACCTGTTGTCTGTAAAAATGGATTTACGATAAAAATGAAAAACTGTCATACATGATTCCACAAAAACATGCAAGGGAAGTTTGATAGATACCACTCCCCCTGCATAAAATGTAAAAGACTTTATATGACTTACCTTGCTTCCATTCTCCCTTGTTTCCTGCTCCATCTTGATATCTGTCATTAAGAGGTTTTTGTACTTTGTTTTTCCATTACTAGTGTGATCATCTATTTGGAATTCAGAATTTAGTGGTGCTGACAGTGGACAGTCACTCAAATTCAAGGGCTGTTCATCTTGCTCAGAACTAGCTTTTCCATTGCTGCTGGCTTCCGTCACCTCCCTACTGACTGTCCCTCCTGTTGGATTTGAGCTTTGTCCCAGGGTATCATTACCACTAAAACTCTCCGGAGCGGAATCATCTGCAAAACATAGATTTTAAACAGCTGCTTAGTTTTATACTGTCTGTGAAGCCATAAGACCACAAGTTTACTGAAGATCTCTTTTTACCACAGCTCAAGTTACCAGGTTATACAACCCTCAATTAAAATCTTTATTTAATAGTCTATGTTTCAGTTTTAACAAATTACACTACCATGGTGCACAAGGAGGTCTCTGGAATATTAACTTTATCAGGATCACCAAAAAAAGCGTGATCTGGATTCAAAGGCAATAGCTGAGAATAACATGACACAGCAAGAAGCAGGAAACGGATTTCTGTACCATGATAAGATGACAAACAATTATGATATGGCATAATAAGCTATGTGATTAGCTATTCAAATGTAACATTTAACACTTCCTGAATGCTAAATGCCACTAACCATAAAAAACAGTTGTGAAAAGACATTATTTATAGAGACAATTGTACAGTGCAGTTTACCAATCCATTCATGTGATGGAAAGCTAAACTCAAGGCAGATATTAAACACCAGCCAGTGCAAGGTAATGCAGTTATATATAATGCTGTTATATATTTATAAGCAACATAATTCAATTTATTTTAAATGCAGCTAACATAAGTACCTCGGTATGACTTGGTATCAGCCACCTGTAATTTGTTGTACAGCAGCACCCAGATACCGAAAGGGAGAGGAAGCATTTGTGTTGCTGTGTATTTGTGCAGACAAGGAACATATTGACAGTAGCAGTGAGAAGAGAGATGACCTCATCAGTTGTCTGCTGCTTATTCACTGTCAGGGTGACCAGCCTATGTTGCAAATCTGCAGTAGAGAAAAGTCTGGTCACCAGCCCTGCTATACAGTCTGGCTAGGCTGTGGAAATATCATGGCTGGTTGGACAGGTACACAAATCTTTTGGGAGGTAAAACAGTTCTCATGTATATCAACTGTGTATTTAGCTGTTTGCCTGGAACTTAGCTTTAACTCTTTCACTTGCCAGAACCCTTTTTTTCATTGTTTGCACAAATGCTAATTTTAGGCTTGAAGATTACTTAAAACCCTGCAAAGCATCATATATCCTGAAAGCCGAGACTCTGTAGAATAGTGGCAGGTACAATTTTTATATCACACAATATTTGTGCTACTGTTTATCAGATCTAAATTTTCAGTGAAATATACACATCTTCTGCAGCATGTAGACATGTTCCAGCAGCTGGAAGTAGAAATGTAAAAAAGTAAACAATCTCCTGGCTGGTGTAGATTGTTTACCTTCTGGCACTGCCATGGATATAGTATTTATGCCCGTGGAAGCGAAAGGGTTAAAGTGCACTGAAGCCAAGACTATGCACTTTATATTATTCACATATTCTGAACAGTACAGATTAAAATAATCCCTCACTGACCTATGTAGCTGTGGACATTGTGGAGAAATTCATCTTCAAATTTCATAACAGCACTAAAATCGCATCTATTCTCCCCTTATTGTCTATGGTGGCCTGCCAGTCCTCTAATATAAATGAATACCAGGTTCTTATAATCTGTTAGAAATTGATTGAAACCTTATTTCAGAGTATATATTATAATTTTTAAGGATGAATTACTTCAAAGTACATGGAGCTAGGGAGAAGAGGTCTGTTTAAAGCCATTTTACTGCTTATTAAGAATATGTAAATATTTGAATCTACATAGTCTGGGCACCGGTGCACTTCAAGTTCTATGGGGAAGGGGGTTACAACTTTAAGTAAAAATAAAGCAAGGTGCTCCCAAGCGGGCATACAGCTGGACATCTTTTTAACACCAAGGCTGAGACGGTTTGGGTCCCTGCTAGGGGTATGCCAACTTGCATGCCTTTCAACATTGAGGAAGTGCTTCAAGAGGATGGCCAAGATATTTCCTACCAAGTAGCATAACCTCTCTGATCAGGCACTGGGCTCTTCTGTACCACCTGTGCCCTAAACTGATGGTTGGGGTAATCAAGGGAGGGGGGTAGTTTATGTGCAACACACCTGTTGCTACTACCTCCTGCCCTTTGCCTACACACCACTAACACAAGTAAAAATTAAACATTTGCACGGGTTTACACATTGTTTTAAAAATACCCCTAAACCCCATCTTTATCAATCTATTAAATGTAGGGTTACATCTTACACTGATCAGCATATCAACGCATTGTTGGTTGCCTTAGGTCACACCATCTTTTTTCTTTACATTTTGTTATATTATTTCTGCCTTTTGGAACACAGATATTCTGTATGACTGATCATGTGTTGGTGATTTCTCTAAATAGCCTTGCAGGGTAAATCAACGATCATTTCATGCAATCTCATGCAATCATTGGGAAAATGTTACAAATCAGTAAAGCATCATTTCAGCTAGTACTAGTTGAATTTTAACATTCTTTATATTTGAGGTATTTTTATTTGCTTTTATGTATTGTATGATTATCATGTACATGGTCACTACTGATACAGTACACACATATCCTGATATAAACAGGGATGAAATAAATGCATACAAATAAATGTAATAATCCTGACTTATGTAGTAAGTAGTTATTAGTAACCAGGAAAAAACAAGCAATTAAGTCTGTTAGCTGGAAATACAGGAGTGTTCCTAGCCAGTAATCAGGCTGGTACTGAGGACATATTAGAGAAAGAGGAGGGAGGCATTGACCATAATCACAGTTGTTTGGCTTGGATATTCTGATGAGAAGAATTAAAGGTTGTTTTTATGCATACCAGAAATAAGAAGCCGTTTCTGATGGGATATCTGATTATAATAATGCATTTAGTGCACTCATTAGCCTGTGTGGAAACATTTCTGAAATATCAAAATACAGCCTGTATTTTCTGTCTTGAGGGAGCTTATCTTGCTGAGATGCACATGAATAATTCTTATCATTTAGGGCCCATTGAAGGCAGCTCACTTAAATGAATGGGCTTTCCGATGCGCCTTACATGACCGCAGAGCTATAGACCTGACCCAACAGGAGTGTGGAACCTCTGCAGAGAGACCACCACACTCCACACAAAGAACAAGGGAACAAGCTGCTGGCTCTGGAACGCACTATATCGCACTCCGGCCGGCTCCCTGCATTCAGTGACGGGAGGGGGCATGAAGCCAACGGCACAGCTGCTACACCCCCCCACCCGCAGTGAATGCAGCATTTTTGCAGATCGCACTGGACCAGAACGCAGGCACTAATGTGCCACACGTTTGACTGATCGCACTTCAGGTGGGGGGCGTGGCTGCGGAGCCATTGACTTCAATGCACCGCCATGCCCCCTCCCGCCCCTGAACGCAGGAAGCCGGCCGAAATGCGTTTCAGTGCGTTCCAGAAAACAAGAAGCCTTGCTGCACTCCTTACCGGAACATCAGAGAAACCTGTGCAAATAGGTGGGTGCTTGTAGTGACTACGGACGGCACCGTGATTAACACAGAAGAAGAAATGATGTCACCAGCACACCGTATGATAAATTAGCAAAACTCCATTTAATGACACATTGCCATTCAATACAAGCGCTTTTGGTGCCTTAAGGGGTCCCCTTCATCAGGCTCAGTGCGTTCCAGAGCCCGACCGCTTTGGAACGCACTGTTTGTGGTGTGAACTGGCCCTTAGGGTCCGTTCACATCAGTGTACATAATCAGGTGTTTTACATACATTGCATTACGAAGTCCACTAAAAGGGCCGCAATACACTAAAGATGCTGCATGCCACACTTTTCTTAATGCAATTAATCGCATTGCACAGATTGTTCACATGTCAAAACAGTGGGGATGCTATTCAAAATAAATGGCACTGATGTACATAAGTTGTTGTTCATTTGTGGTAACACGAGGTAAAATCTGTGTTTAAGGGCCCATTCACACCAGCAACTGCACTACAACACACAGCTACTGCTCACACAGTGTGTTGCACAGTGCTAATGCGGTGATCCTGGCACATCACACTGTTTACTTTTTTTAACTTTATTGAAATGTCACAAAAGACATTTCATTAGGTTCTATGGGCACAGCACGTTGTGAGGTGGTTGTACCGAATCACATCCTGCTGCTCTGAAAAGAAGTAAAGAAGTAAAGAATGCAGTACTCTTTTTAAGTGCACATCACCGCAAATCAGTGCCTATTCAAAATGAGGCAAATAGCCTTGTCTTGTGTTGGGGCTGCACTGGAAAAAATTATATGGTAGCCCCAACGAATCTGATGTGAATCCAGTCTTAAATAAACTGTAAAGCTGGCCATACACCTTACAACCTTACAGACAAAAGTCTTGCTATGGTTGTAAGGTAATGAAAAAAACGTACGATCTGCCCATCTTGGACAGGCAGATCGTACTTGCGATCATCGCAAGCTCGCCCCGCTGAGGGGCGGACTTCCGATGACTGCAATGCTGAACGGGCAGTGTGCGCTTGCGCACACCGGCCTGTTCGGCATTTGTCTCCCGAGAACGCCACTAACCCGCCGACAATCGTACGATTATCGGCGGGTTTTCAAACTGCTCGGGAGACAAAAGACGTGTGACCGTACAGTAGAAACGGTCGCACGCCTTCCATACACCTGCCGATTATCATACGATCGTGGGATTTCCTGCGATTATCGTACGATAATCGGCAGGTGTATGGGCACCTTTAGATTCATCACCTTTTGATTTGATGCAGCTGAAATATATTTAGCTGATTTAAACTGAACGTTTGATTCTGCTTTTAGTATTTGTTGAGTCACTGTGGATGACTTATTAGAGTAGTCGAGCATGTTAACTTTGCAAGGGAAATTTCACTTAGCTCAGTGTATGAGGACAAGCTCTGCTGACTTCAATTATCTAATGATGTGCAAGCAAAGACACTTTTTTATGCAAGTGATTGGGTATTCTTTCCAAAGTGAATTATTACCACATTCACTAAGCTAAGTAAAGATTCCCTTACGATGTGAACATGTTCTAAATCAGCCACACTGGCCTCAAACCAATATGTAGATCAGGAACTCTGACTGATTCCATGACTTAACATTTGTTCTGTATCAGT